GCCCTGAATTTGAGGTTGCCAAGGGTCCTGAAAGACTTTGAGCCACGCTTTTGCATCATTTCGAGGCGTCAAACAGCCTGTTGCAAGCCCTTGCAAACAGGTGGGGGCCTTTGCATGAAACCTGGATTCATCCATTTTCACAAGAATAAAGCTTCCCCCTCTTCTGACCTGAGCCACGGTCACTATGCTGTTGGCAGTCAATTCAGCCCTGGTCTTGTGGAAATTTATTTTGTGAGTATAGACCACCAGAGAAGAAGACATCACCTCATCCGGGAATAATTCTCAAGTGGAATTGCACCCTTTGGTGGACAACTCTTAATCTGGAGGGACCGGCGTTCAGTGACCCTGGTAGAAAAAATTACACCGGCATAGACCCCAGATAGCACACCACGGCCATGAACCATGACGCAGCATCAGAATGGTTCCCGCGGCATCATGATGATGTTGACAGCATCATGATGATGTTGACAGCATCATGATGATGTTGACAGAATTATGATGATACCACAGCAACTTAGCATGGTGCGCTAAATAGACGCGCAGCCAACGTCCTACTGAGCGCAGAAGCAGAATGATGATGTTGACAGCATCATGCTACACCAGCCACGAACGATTCCGCGTTACATATTCGGCAGAAAAAAAGCAGAGACGACGTCCTGACGAGTTCGACAGCATCATGATGATGCGGACAGTATCATGATGATGCGAACAGCATCATTGTGATGGTAGAGGCAGGCGAATGATGATACCACAGCCACAAATCATCTTGCAACAGCGTATTGAAATTCAGCCTGATCTTGACAGCATCCTGGCGCCACCGCACCCACGAACCATAACGCAGCATCGCAGTGATTCCAGCAGCATCATGACGTGGTTGACAACATCATGATGACACACCAGCCACGAACCACTACGCGCCACAGTTAGGGCAGCAACAACGTCCGAACCGATTGAGTTGACAGCATCATGATGCTGCGGGCAGCATAATGATGATTGCCACAACCGCGATACCCCAAACAGCGCCCGCCCTCAAAACAGCAGCCCCGCCAGCACCCCAACGCAGCACCTGCGCCAGCACCTCACAACCGAACAGCCCCAAAACCGCGCCTTCTGTTAGAACCCCTATGGCTTTCCATTGTCTGGGAAATAAGCGGTCAGCAGCACCTCAAACAGCAACCCAAAACAGCACCCGACACAGCCCCAAACTGCATGCCCCTAGCACCCGCCGGCAATCTCCAAAAATTGCGTCCACAACGTCACCAGCACCTCAAACAGCACCACCCCAAACAAACAGCACCTGCAACAGTGCCCCAAACTGCACGCAGCCATCAATCTGGCAAAAATGCGCCTACACCTTCACCAGCACCTCAAACAACACCCCAGAGCAGCACCTGCACCAGCACCACCATGCCCCCTACTACACCAGCACCCCAAACTACATGCCCTCTATTACCTGGCCGTCAAGCTGGCAAAACAGCATCCACCAGCACCCCAAACTGCAAGCCATCACCCGGCCGTCAATCTCGCAAAGCGGCACCTCCACCAGCAGCCAAGCTGGACGCCCCCTAGCACCGGACGTCAAGCTCGCAAAACAGCATCCACCAGCACCCCAAACTGCACGCCCCCTAGCACCCGGCCGCCACGCCCCAAACGACATGCCCCCTAGCACCCAACCCCAAACTACATGGCCCCCCAGCAACCGGCCGTCACCAGCACCCCAAACTGCATGCCCCCTAGCGCGCGGCACCTCCACCAGCACCCCAAACTGCATGCCCCGTAGCACCCAGCCGTCAAGCTCGCAAAACAACACCTCACAAGCACCCCAAATTGCGTGGCGGCCATTGCTCTCGCAAAACAGCACCTCCCCCAACACCCCAAACTGCACCGTCAATCTCGCAAAGCGGCACCTCCACCAGCAGCCCAAGCTAGATCACCAGCGCCCCAAACTACATGCCCCCCAGCACCCGGCCGTCACCAGCGCCCCTAGCACGCGGAACCTCCACTAGCGCCCCAAATTGCATGCCCCGTAGCACCCGGCCGTCAAGCTCGCAAAACAACACCTCACTAGCACCCCAAATTGCATGCCCCCTAGCACCCGGCCATCACTCTCGCAAAACAGCACCTCCCCCAACACCCCAAACTGCGTTCCCCCCTAGCACCCGGCCGTCAATCTCGCAAACTCGCAAAACAGCATCCACCAGCACCCCAAACTGCATGCCCCCTAGCACCCCGACCTCAAGCTCGCAAATCACTTCCCTTCTTTATTAGAAGTTAGAACCCCTATAGCTTTCAGCTATCTGGGGAAAAACACGGAACCCTTTGTTGGGCTCAATTTCGTTTTAGACTCCGGACACGGTGGCTTCCCTTTTGGTTCCCTTCAAGCTTCGCGATAAAAAGGGGTACCTTGCCTCAAAACAACGCGACCCCAAACAAATGCTTCCCATATTTTCCTAGTGGTTTTTCAACATCGCCTGGCCCATGGCTGGGTTTCCCTTGTTTGCGATGTTTTACTCACTTGCCCAAAGGACCAAAGGACATAAAAGGTGATCACCTTTTTGGGGCCATGACTAAACATAGATCAAAAAGACCAAAAGGTAATTTCGGGTCGATTCGCTTTGGGCAAGTGAGGATTTTTGCTTTTCCCCGGTGAATCCCATGGAAGTTCCAAGCCTTGGGGTGATCACCCGCCCGGGCGCACGCTGGCCAACCCAGCACCAGGTGGGTGATCATACGGGTGCCGGCCACAAAGCCCTGACCTTGGAGCTTCCATGGCATGGGTCTCTTTGGGCGATGGGGCTTCAGGTTGGAGACTGTTCCTCGTTTATCTTTTGCAACCTGAATTTAAATGTCACCGAACTCGCGAACTGCGGGAGCCGTTTTGAAGTGCCCTTTTCTTCATGGGGTCATCTGTCGGCAGGTCGCTAAACAGTGCCCACCAAAAATGCGGACCACAAGACAGGAAAGTGGGTGTGCCCCCACAAATGGGACGTTGGTTTTTGTGGCGGTCTCCTTCCTCCAAACTCCATGGAACATGGGGGCTCAGCATTGGTCTCCCTTCCAACATCCTCACAAAGGAAGCGAGCATGTCGTTGGCCTTGTTTTCCTTGTCCGTTCTTGCTGGCTTGACTACTCCCCTGCAGTTTTACATGTACAGTCCTCGAACAGAAGATTCCTCTACACATGAACTTGTTGAGTTCCTTGAGCACTTGAGCAGCACGCAGCTCAAGCCAATTCTAGTAGTGGAGCAATAGAACACAGCTAACATATGCTGATGTAGAAACAGACATGCACACTTGCACCTCCACGCACACACATAGATCCACACAGCAGTCAAAGTAGACCAGCCACACAGCTGTCTTGTCTAAGTGGACCACCCACACTCTTTGCCATCGTCGTGTACTTGTTGGTGTCGCCCTTCTGCACCCTGCGGAGTAAGGGCTTCGCATGGCTTCCAGCTTGGGTGGTCCCTTGCACACTTGCCCCCCCAAAAGGGATTGGTGTGATCACCTCTTCTCGCCTGTCGCGCGTGATATGGTCGTGCAGTTCAATGTGGAACATCCATATGTCGCTGCCGGGCCTCGGAACATGCGTCTCACCCTCACTCATGTGGTTCGTCTTGGAGTGGTGGACGGCATGGGACCGCTGCCAAGAGAAGTAAGGTACCTCGCGCAAACATGTGTGTCTTGTTCCGCAGACGGTCCTGTGGCTCATGAAGCATGATTCCACTGGAAGCCTCAACGCATCCAAGTTCCCTATTGATCCATGACTCCACTGATCGGTTGTCTAAGTTCCCGAGTTTCTTTACACGTGTGACGCATGAAGCCAGAGGCGAATGGGGGTTCGCACGGGACGGGCTCGAATGGACGGGCTTTGACATATCAACCGGAAACTGTGTTGTTTTGAGGGTCGCCTTCTCAAGTTTAATCGGACACCAAAGGAAGGCTACAATTTTGGGGGATATGTCCCTTTTTTGACCTACCCAAATGATCGGTTCTGGCCATGGAAGCAACTCATCTCTGGTTGGCACACCTCACAGCGTGACATCTCACTTTGGTTAATTCAGCGCTTGCCCCAACCAAAGTCGCATCTTCCATGTCTGGTCCACTAGCAAATCTGAAAATGTGCGACCTAAGGTCAAACAACATCGCAGCACAACTTCCACATCCAGCACCGCCGCCCCAGACGTTCGGACACGAAGGGGCACCATGAGCGCGGTGTGCAGCGTCTCAGATCGGGGTGAAACCAGGTTGGGGTGCATCAGGTCAGCTCGAAAAGGCGAACTGGTTTGCTGCTTGGTAACCTAACAGCCCGCAAAAAAGGTTCTGGTTTCAGGCAGGTAGTCTGGGAGCCCAAAAGGGTTGGGGCAGTCGTTTGAACTCAAGACGTAGACGACAAAAGGAATGGTTTCAGGTTGGGCTCATGGGCTCCCGTTCCAAGGAGTTCGCATGAGCCCTGGGCTTCCAGTGAATGAATCCGAGGCGAACAGCTTAATCCAAACAAACGAGTTGCCATGCCCGTCATGTTGGAGGACGACACATGCGAACTTTCGGGCAACTCAAGTACTGTCTGCACCTCTGCCTACGCTTGGCTTGATGTCAAATCCCCCCAAAAAAACGAGAGCAACAACATAGTTTGTGTACACACTGGGATGAGGATGGCACAGTGGGCTTGTGGATGGCAACAGGTTCAGAAGATGAATCAGCCAACTGCAATGGGTGTCGTTTATCTCATCATCTTGCACCCTGGATGATGAAAACCATACTGGCAACCTGGATGTAGATCCCTGATGGTCCAGTGGGAAGATTCGATAAGCTGAGGCGGCTTGGAAGGATCGGTCATGTATCTCAAATCGATGCACACCCCTTCTCGAGCCCTGTCAGCCATAGTGGATAAAGTACGTAGCAGGGATTGAACAAGCATCCACACTTTCAGCCTTCTGAGCGCCGGGCATAGCCGACCAGCGTCTGCAGCCACTGCTCGTTGCAGAACGCGTTGTGGCCGCACTCGTGTCCTCGTGCGTCGGAAAGTCAGGCGAGCAGCTTGCATGGCTTGCCATGGCCACAGGATATGCAAATCGCCCCAGGCTTCTTCACACCAAATGACATTGTGCTCTCTTCTCAGACTCCACTTATAGCGCAGGCATGTCACCTGGTCCATTATGAAATGTGCACTCTTACCGGTGACCTGTCAATCAAAGGCCGCCCCTTTTTGCTAGGTGTTCTCACTCCAAGTGCAAAGGATTGGCAAACCCTTGGAAGGGTCAAGTGTCCCAAAGGCTTTTGACAAATGGCCCTCTCTCAAAAGGCGCCTTTCCAGATCTCTCGATTCCCTTTTGGTTTTCCAACTCCATCCCTTCAGACGCCCCGAGTTCGGGGGAACCGACCCGGAAATTTCTGGGGATCTGGCCGATGACCCAAGGTCCAGTGGCGATGGTGCCTTGCGCCACCGCGTAGAGGATCCACAGGGGGATGGCAGCTGTGGTCCTCGGGAAAAAACATACGTAGCAAAGACCAAACAGCCCGTTGACTGTTGAAGTTTTTCAGGAACATGGTGGCAAAAGCCTAGAACCATCTACAACATGTTAACCCATAGGATTGCGGGGTTGGTTGCTGCCCTGAACCGACAAGACTGCGAACCGCTTCAAAGGTAACCCTGAACCGCGATGCTTTATAAAAAGTCTGTTCAAAGCTCAAACAGATTTGGACTGCTTCAAACCGCATGGTGCAAAAAGTTGAAAACTTTCATTTGGGTTTAGGAAACCACAAACACTACATGACAGTTTGCACGGTTGAAAGTTTGGCTTTCACAGGTCAGTTGAAGCAGGCGGGGACTGCGTACCTCCGGAACTTGCCAATGATCGCCGGTGGTTTTTGGAAGGGGTGGAGGGCGCGGCTGGTCTACATTCAACCAAACTGATCCAAGAGGACACGGCCTTGGAATCAAACCAATGGTGCCCTGCATGAATCTCAATACAAGATCTTTCAGACATCATGGCCAAGCTCGCAAATGGCTTTCAATGTCTGATGACATGGTAATTCCTCTGACAAACGGCCCAGCCGACCACTAAGGACTTCCTCGGCCTATTTGTCATGTGGTCGTTGAACAAACATAGACACCCTCCTGCAGATTGATATGCGCAGCCAGTGTGTTTTGCAGATACCTTTGCAGCTTGAAACGGAAAACCGAAAACGCGGCCCTGGGGGTCCCCTCAAAGGGAGGCCCAATCAATGGCCCTGGGTTCCGGGCATCGGGATGTACTTCCAGGCCAAATAGCCACACAGCAGCACCTGAGGACATTCGGTACCGAACACCCGGGGATGGAAGGGGGAGGGTGTAAGGGTACTTTTTTGGAGCGTCCCTCGGACCCTGCAAACCCACGATGAAACGCTTAGAAGTGAGATTGCAATTTCTAGACTTGACATCTTTGCAAATCTCTCGTCGTGCCCTATGGCCTATGGGAATCCTTTCGACATCTAACCTTTTTACAGGGTCGATCACCATCCCTAGGCGAATGAAGTACGTCCAGTTGATAGGGAGCAAGCCGTGCAAGTGAGTAACGACGACATCTCATATTGCTCAGCTCAGTTGCCCAAAGGCCGTTTTTGGGGCCCAAAAGAAGAACTGGACCAATGCAGGGAAACCAAAAGGTCGGCTTTGGACAAGTCAGTCCTCCATCAACGAACACGAAGGCTTCCTATCAAGCCAACGCACATTTTGACTCAGGAAAATCAACATGCTGCTCAACAAAAACATGGGACTCACTCACATCCATCAGTCGGGTGGAACCTCCAACTTCCGTGGGGCTTTGCGCAGAGAAGCTCGATCACCACCCAAAAAGGTGATGCTACCTCCGATATCCTCAAAATGACCATCCAAAGGCTAGCTTAAACGGAAACCGCCGGGTCCAAAGATAAATTCTGTGAATCCCTCGTGTTCACTTTAGAGGACCCAGTCTACCAACACATCTTATGATCTTTACTCAAATTGGTGTGACAGCCCAAACCCATTCCAACAAAAACAACAATTGTCTGAACTGCTTCTCCACGAGCCCAAAACACAGCGAGTCAGAGATGTTTTCCACGCCTGGAGGGTGGAGGCCGCCGCGTGCGCCAGGGATCGGCCGGTCCTGGGAGGCCATGTTTTGATTGGCCTAAGGACTTAAAACCAAAAATAGCTCATGTCCCCCGACCTTGGGGTAATCAACAAATGGAACCTTGAGCGGTTCAACCCGTGTGTAATTTCCTCAAACCGAAGATGGTGTGAAAAACCCTATGGAAAGGACCTTCAAAGGTGAGGTTGCCAACCAAACCTTTGCGGTTCGGTGTAACAAATACCACACGTAAAGCTGCATAATCAGTGCTGCCTTTCAGCTCAAACTGGGAAACTGGACAAGCTGTTGCCTCGGAGAAAGGGGTTTCCCTGTCCCGAGGAAACCGCAGTCTTCCCAGGTGAGGGAAGACCCCAAAGGTGGCAATAAACCACCTTTGCTCAAACAACCTTTGGGATGTCCTTTAAACATCCACTATACCTAAAGCCACTGTTGAGATCATACCAAGTTTCGCTTTATCAATCTCTTTTGGAGTTACTGTTAAACGACCGCCATTCAGCACCAATTCTTGAAACCATCGGGTCTGTCTCTTTTCAGTTGCATCCTTCCAAGAAAGAGCAAAGGACAAACCGAACTCCATTTTGCGGATACCCCCAAAAAAGACAAGCCACTTGTTTAAACAAAATAAAATAATGTCCCTGAGCTCCGAATTCGACTCCGGTCTGCCAGCTAAGGCCTGGGCTCCTTGACCAGGCAATCCTTTGGGATGGCGCCCAAGACCTCGCCCTTGGTGGGCCATTGCCTCAGCCGAAGTCTCTTTTTTGTCAATCGCGGCAACCGAAACACGGGGGGAGGGGGGGCGTAAAACAAATGTGTACATGAATAGGTACGTGTATACATATGGTATACTCTATTTGTATACACATGTATCGGGGTTGCCCAAAGTTGGGGCCCATTGTTGGATGCCTTGTGGAAGGTAAACAAAGAACTAACCCAAGGCTTTGAGAGCTACTTGTTTCACGTGCCCATATCCTAAATGGGGAACCCCTTTTCGGGATGGGTGTTGCCGGGAAAGAAGAAGTCACCTTGCAACAACTCTTAGTGTGCATGTCTTGCGGCCCAGATCGACCTGGCAAGAAGCGGCAACCCGCCAGATTGGGATACAAACTCGGGCCTATGTGAATTGCAATCGACTTTAAGAACCTTGCTTGGCCCATGTGAGTTACAATTAACATACGGTAACAACTAAAGTTTGGGTGCGGATTTCTTTTGGGATTTGTTCGGATGATTTTTTTTTTTTCTGGGCCAGCAAAATGTCGTATTTTACACAAACCCGTCAACATCCCCAGCATCGTTTTCAACATCCCCCGCATGTCCAACCAACATCCCTAGCATCACCAACAAATCGTGGGTAACAAAATCGAAAAAGTAGCTGGCGGGTTGACGGGGTCAAAAACATATGATTCAAATAGGAGGGCATTTCAGTCCCTGTAAACAAAAATCCCATGATGTTCGCAGAAGTGATGATTCGAATAGGGCTGCAATTCAATCTCTGCAAAAAGTCTAAAAAGTAGCGGGGGGGTGTCGGGGGGCGGCAGCCCCCCCCAACGATGTTCGAAGAATTGATGATTCAACTAGGGGTGCAATTAAGATCTAAAACGTAGCGAGGGGGTTGGGGGGGGCGGCAGCCCCCCCATGATGTCGGAAGAAGTGATGATTCAAGTAGGGGTGCAATGATTCAAGAAAGGGTGCGATAGAATTTATAAGGCAGCGGGAGGGTTGGCGGGGGTGGCTTCCCCTTATGATGTTCGAAGAAGTGCATACATACAGACATACATGGATTACACAGATTACCTAAAATGTCGTATTTTGCAGCATTTTCTCGCGAAATTGGACAAGTGATGATTCAAATAGGGGTGCAATTCAATCTCTGCAAGAAATCTAAAAGTAGCGGGTGGGTTGGGGGGGGCGGCAGCCCCCCCCATGATGTTTGAAGAAGTGTTGATTCAAATAGGGGTGCATTTTCTCTGCAAACAATCCAAACAGTAGCGGGTGGGTTGGGGGGGGGGGCTTCCCCCCCCATGATGTTCGAAGAAGTGATGATTCAAATAGGGAGGAACTGGTGATGCTCATGATGCGGGAAGTCAAATCCAAAAACCAATGAAAGGGTGCAAAAGCCAGGATGCGAAAAGCCAAAGCCGCCAAAAGCCGCATAAACCAACGAAAAGCCGCAAAAGCCAAAACGCCACCTGCCGAAGAGGAACTGGGAATGCAGAGGATGCGAAAAGCCAAAGCCAAACAGCCACTAAAAGCCGCATAAACCAACAAACAGAAGCCGAGAAGCCAAAAAACGAAGACTCCGAAAAGCCAAGAAGCCAAGAAGCCAAGAAGCCAAGAAGCCAAAATGCCAAGAAGCCAAGAAGCCAAAAGCGAAACAAAATCCCAAAACAAAACGGAAAAAATCCTAAAATAAATACCCCTCCCTACAAAAAATGGTCCACGCCAAATTATGTCATGTGAATACTCAAAAGGGCGGTTGCGCCTGTTCATGGCCTCCGTCTCCTACTTACCTTCACTTTCCCGGGTTTTGATTGTGGCGCACGTGGGTACAACAGTGTGCCGCGTGTCCTTTCGTTGATGCATGGCACAAGCGGCTGCTACCCGCTCATGTTCCGGCTCTTGACAAGATTGAGAGCTGGAACGAACATGGAACAAACGCTTGGGTGCGCTAAATTCAAGATCTGGAACTTGGGTGTTCAACCCACAAGTTTAGGTCACTCTGATGATAACCAGGTACAAAGATCCTGTCAGGGTTGTGACTTAAGGAACCAAATCAAAGACAGCTATTCAACCAAACTATGCAGGACACAAGTGATAACCAGCCTCGTAGCAAAACCAATGCATGCTACCTTGCTTTTATGGGTGAACATAGATGAATCTTAGACGCTCTCA